ATTAACGATATGCATGTTCGCTCCTGTGTCCGCTAGCCATGTGTCTGTTGTACAGAAACTGCCTGCCAAGAAAGCTCCTAATACAGGTTTAGAGAAATCCAACGTCATGGGTACTGGGTCCCCCATATCAACTCCCCCTGATCTCCGCAACTTGATGCAAGAGATAGCTCTATGCATCCAGAGCATCAGTCCGGATATATGAGTCTTTGGAATCGGGGAGATCCATTTCTGCGACACCGCCCATGCCATTGGTGATAACAGCCCTGTTGGTGGTGTTGGTGAACTTTTCTTTGAGAGATCGTGGAATTTTCTCGGGGTTCTTAACCCAGCAATATTCCTCGGTATGGCCAGTCTTGCCACAGCCAGAATGGGTGCACTTGAGGTGACTTCTGTCCTCCCGTCTAGGCCTGTAACGAGTATTGTTGTCCGTGTTCATGATGCCGTTGCTGCTGATTGCATCTCTCTTGACCTTTTCCCTGATCTTTCTCTCTTCTTTAATTTGAAGCTGGTGCATTTCTTCAACATGCATGCGTTCAAAAAGATAGTCCAGATCAGGAGAATCGTCAGGGTTGATCGACCTAATCCAGTCATACTTCTCTTTGAAACCGCGATAGCTGGGAGGAAGGCCATGAAGAAGAGCCGTTGCGAACATGTCGTCAGTCATATCACACTTGACTGTCTTGAGATCAGCTTTGACCTGGCGGACTTGATTGGTGTAGTCGGTCACAGATGCGCAGTGATCCAGCTTGAGATCGTTCAATCGATTCAACAGAATATCGCGCGCACGTTCATTTGTGACCGCATATCGCTTCTTGATAAAATCGTAAGCTTCTTTGGCGTCCGAGCAATCCTCGGTCTCGATTTTGATGCCGTCAGAAATCCATTTGTCAAGTAGCTTGTTTGCCATCTTCATCTTCTCTTTCGCAACTTTATGATCATTGTAATCAATTTGCCATCGGAGTGTGTTGTTTGTTGTCAATACAACTGCCTGGCCATCATCCGTCTCGTTTTCGTCATCGGTTGTCGGACTTAAACTTTTCTTGATCCGAGTAGACCGACGGGTTTCGGTGTCAAGGACTTTCACAAAGTATTCGTCCTTGTTGGGCTTGGGTGGGACGACTTCTTCGCCCGTGAGAAATTCAAGCACATCATTTGCTCTGGCTGCTCGCTCAAACTCGCGTTTCCAACTGATGAAGTTGGTCTTGCCTTTGAGCCGGCGATCTGGTTTAACTTCATCCATCTTGGATGATGTCGTATCTGGTGCCCGGAATTGGGCGTCTGGGGTCTGGTTTCTGTTGATCACTGATCACTTGTGTCAATCCAAAGGCTAGCTTTTAGAAGAGAGGCTCATAACCAGTTGAACCCTGGATTGAGGTACAAGTGTGATATTGATCTATATTGAGAGATCCAGCTATTTGTAGTTGCAGCAGCTCATCTCCCTGCTGCCTAGCGGAGTGTCTGCCTAACAGGCAGCCACTCCTATAGATCTATATGCATCACGTGACCTGGGATCCAACTCGCAAAGCGATATACAGGCTACAGCAACTATCTAAATACATCTTGATTGATCCCTGAGATTGATCCAAACTGCCTGAACGGTGAACTTTGAGCCTCACCTGGTAAGGCCTGTCGTGGCCTTGTTGCCATTTGCGATATTAGGCTGCCCTCATGGCGCGGCTATGAGAAATATGCGAATGAGACGGACAGCAAGTGTCCGATTTTGGCTGCATCTCTGTTAGGAACCGCGAGAACGCGGGCAAAGCCGAAGCTAAGAATATGGATAGTGACTGTGTTGCAGACGCGTTTTTGTTCCGAACTCGCTTAGTCGCGCGTTGGCTTGGCTGATTCTCGAACTGGAAAGGTGACGGTTTGTTGTGAAAACGGCGGTGAAGATCTTCGATTGTGAGTGTAGATTTGGCGGGAGTGATAGGTTCTTGCGTTGGAGGAGTCGATTCTGGTGCGGGTACGATAGAATGCTGGAGGACAGAAGCATAGGTTGTCTGTTGGTTTTGGGACGAGGAGGTAATAGGCGGTATCGTTTGAGGAGGCTTGGGAGTGTAGGTTGGTGGAACTGTTTGTGGTTCTAGATCGGTTGTAGCAGAGGGTGGTTGAGTGTAGGAGTCGATGTTAGTGTTCGAAGGTTTTTCTATAGCAGCGGGCACTGTTGGGGTTGATTGGGTTGGTGTCTGTGTGCTAGCGTTGGTGAAGGTTTTCTTGGGAGGTGTGCTATTCGAAGAAGAAGGGTGGCGAGGAGTTGACTGTCTAGGGTGTGGGGTTGCGTTGGTTGAGAGGGTAGGTGTGCTGGCAGTTTCGCGGTGTTGTTTCAAGTCGCTGTAGATGACCTGCCATAAGCAGTCTACTGCATGTGGTAACTGTGCCTCTTGGAAAGGTACTCCTTCGAAGCTGTTTAGGCGTTGGAAACGTTGACAAGCAAAGCACAAGGCCAGCCCAGCGGAGCTTCCATATGGTTGGTAGTGAAAGCCATTTTGGGCCAGTTGGAGCGGGGTGACGCCATTGAGCAATTGTCCTTGGAACGACAGAGCTCTGGCAGTGATGGTTGAATAGGCGGTTGAGATAAGGAATTTTTCGGTACGTTGTGGGGTAGGTTGATCGGGTGGAGTGGCAGGGTTCGCGGATTCAGGGGTATGAGGGTGGCGGCGATTGCGCAGAGGGGTTTTGCCCGCCTTGGGGCTTGGAAGTTGAGGACTCATCCAAAGGGTATTCCGGGACCTCCTTTCGGTGGTGATTACAGTCGCCGCCTTGTACAGTAGTGACCGCTTCCCGGTGGATACAGTACTTCCCCTTTCGGTACAGTATGGATGATATCATTTACCCTGACCTCTCGCAATTAAGCGATATACAGGCTACCACTATTGTGTAAATACATGATTGTGTGTTCCAATGAGATTGTTCCAAAACTTCCTGAACGGTGAACTTTGAGCCTCACCTGGTAAGGCCTGTCGTGGCCTTTCTGCCGTTTGCGGTATTAGGCTGCCCTCATGGCGCGGCTGCGGGAAATATACGAGTGAGACGGACCGCAAGCGTCCGATTTCCGCTGCATCTCTGTTAGGAACCGCGAGAACGCGGGTAAAGCAGAGGCTAAGAATCTGGACAGTGATTGTGAGACAGATGCGGGTTTTTTCCGAGTTCGTTTGATTGAGCGTTGGCTTGTCTTATTCTCGAGCTGGAACGGTGACGGTTTATTGTGAAAACGGAGGTGAAGATCTTCAATTGTGAGTATGGGGTTGGCGGGAAGAAAAGGTTCTTGCACTGGAGGAGTCGGTTGCGGTATGGATGTGACAGGTCGCTGGAGGACGGAAGCATAGGTTGTTTGTTGGTTTTGGGACGAGGAAGTGATGGGCGGTATCGTTTGATGAGGCTGGGGAGATTGGGCTGTTGGAGGTTGTTGAGGCTCTGGGTCTATTATGGCGGGTAGCGGATTGGAACGGCAGTCTAGGTTGGTGTTTTTTGTACTGGAGTCGTCTGTAGTTTGTGTACTGGAATCGGCGGTAGGAGTTGACCGTTTAGGGGAGGAGAATGCGGTGGTTGAGGAGGGGGTTTGTTGTGAGTTCCGAGGTGGTGTTTCAAATCGCACGAGATTATCTGCCATATGCAGTCTTCCTCGTGTAGCTGTTGCACTTCCTCGAACGGGGTGCATTGGAAGGTGGATAAGTGCTTGGTCGATTGGCAGGCAAAACAGCATGCCACATTGCTGACTCCTGAAGGTCGGTAATAGAAGCCATTCTGGGCCAGTTGGAGCGGAGTGGCCCCAGCAAGCACTATTCCTTTGAACGAACGAGCTCGGGCTGTGATGGTGGAGTAATCGTAGGTGATTGAGACGAGAAAGTAATCCTCCTCATCGTGAGAATCATCCTCGACGTGAGAATCGTCCTCATCATGAGAATCATCCTCGGCGAGAGAAAAGTCCTCAACGTTGGGGTATTCGGGTGAGATTGTGGGGTTTGCGGCTTCGGGGGTGGGAGATGTGCGACGGGTTGGGGGGTTTGGAAGCTGGGGGTTCAGCCCCACCCGCTGGCTTCTCGTGGTCATCCCCATGGTCGAATCCTCCGTACTGTACAGTCCAATTGCTACAGTAGCGACTCTGGTCCTACAGTCGATCCTGATATGTACAGTGCCGACCGTTGCTTTCGGTACAGTAGCGACCGCTTTCGCCTTCCATGTCGGACTACACAGAGGAGCTCTTTCAAACCCTAATCACATGACACGCTAATCTATATGGAGATAGCGCGTAAATAAGACGTTTTGTACCTAACCAGGTAATAAATACCAAGATCTTAAAATACCAGTATGGCAGATACAAGAGTCTAGAACTAGACGGCCGGGACTGGAAGTAGTGATGGTGTAATAACGAAATTGGCCAACTCATTACGAAATCTTGAAATTTCAATTTTTTTTCCTCCTTTCAATTACATTTCAAGGGGCTTCAGCTTGATGAGTCATCATTAACGGTGAAAGCTTTCAGCCAATAGGAGCCCGCGATAAAAGGTTCTGCCGTCTCATCTCTGTCTAGAATATTTGCTGTAACTCCTAGCAACAGCTGCACAAATATATATCCATAATATGTCCGGGATGCTCTCACCCCTTCGTAGTTACATGTTCTCGGAAATGGCCGACAACTCTTCTGACAAGGTCTCTTACACCGAGCTAGAACTTCAAAGGTGCTTTGAAATCATACAGGGGAATAAAAAGGTAAGGACTGACTCGCTAAATCCAACCTGTACTCCCCTAGCTATGGCTAGGTGCCCCAAGCAAAATGCCTCGGATGCTTTAAAATTCGCGCCAAAAACACGACTCGTCAGAGTGAGCACGTTAATAAATGCATCAAAGCACAGGCTCTGATGGATCCTGAGACCGCCACGGGGAAGAAACAGAAACTGCTAAGTTTTTCTACTTCTCAGCCATCCCGGGGTATTGATCAGCTAATAGCCCAGGTCTGCTTTACTGGAGCCAGGCCATTTAATCTCTTTGATCAGCAAGAGATGCGTGACCTCATCTATGCGTTAAGTCCAACGTATCAAATCCCTTCTCGACACCGAATCGCCGATGATCTGCTGGATGAAGCATACCATGGACTACAGCAGGAGGTGCTTAAGGAGCTGCGAAGAACCCAGTTCCTGAATGTGACGGTGGATGAGACCACTAACATCCGATCTCAGCGGGTGATTGTGATGACTATAACAACGCCGACGAAGTCGTGGTTTATTCATCTTAATGACATGGAAGACAAGACTCTTGATGCTCCTGCTATTAGTAGTTGGATCTTAAACAGGCTCCAAGGCATCCTATTACAGCTAGACAAAGTCGTTGACTGGAATAGGATCAATTCTATTTCGACAGACACATGTCATGTCATGAAATCAGTCTGGGAGAAACTGGAGGCAACCCCAGAACTCAGACACTGCTTTATGATTCCCTGTGACTCTCACGGCCTACAGCTAATTATGAAGGATATCGTTGATCCTAAGTCCTCAAAGGTTCCACGGGCGAAAGAGGTGTTTAGGTCTGCCCTTGAAGTTGTTGTCTTCTTCCACCACTCACCACTTGAGTACGCAAGGATGCAAGCAAAGCAGATTGAGAAGTGGGGCCATAGAAAGGCGCTTATTGCGTCGGTCATTACACGATGGGGAACGCAATATAATATGCTGTCATCACTTCATGATTGCCAAGAAGCCATCTGCAAGTGGACTCTCGCAACTCCTGCTGCTTCGACTACAAGGGGGGAGGGAGATCGTTCGGACTGCTAACTCTCATTCTTTCTGGTGGCAACTAAAGGAGTTGATCAAGATACTTAAGCCTCTGCATATAGCCCAGAAGGAATCGGAAGCTCGGAACTCGTCAATCATGGAGGTAACGCAACGGTGGTTATATCTCCATGAAAGTCTGCGAACGCTGGCTTCCCAAACATCCCTCAAGGATGACTTTTTATCATATCTGGATGGCATAGGCTGGCAAAGTCGTATAACGCGTCAGCTAGAGCCTATTCACTGGGTAGCTTATCATCTTGACCCTGCTAGAGTCCCTGGAAAAGTTGACGAGAGCTCTCGATATCACATTGAAGGTGTTCTACGGCCTCTTCAAAACGAAGATAAAAGCTCGTCTGCTTGGCACGAATTTCTGTCGTTTCGGCAGAAGACAGGTGCATTTTATAATGCTTCTTGCTGGAAGGCTAACTGTCCATCTCTCTTTTGGCTTGAAGCCGTAAGTCGAAGCTTTCAACTAGAGAGAAAAAATACTTATCATTAAGATCCATTTATAGGCGGACTTTGCTCCTATTCTTGCTCCTTTTGCCCGTCGTCTTTGCAACACTGTGGCGAATTCCGCAGCAGCGGAGAGAGCCTTTTCACAAATGAACCTTCAGCACACAAAAGTCCGGAATCGGCTCGAGCCTCACCGCGTTGAAAAGTTGCTCTTTGTCCAGATCAATAAACGACAATTCCGGACAGAACAGCCTCCTAAAATCACCCAAGAGTTCCTTCTTGAGGAAGAAGACAACGAAATAGAGAGGGTTTTGCAGCGTAAGCAGGTGCAGGACCATCTATCAGAGGGTTCTGTGACTTCGGATACTTCATCGAATCCCGCATCTAGTCCTACGCCAAGTCCTACGCCTGGTGTAGGGTCGAATGTCGTGTCAACTTTAGACATAAATCCCGACTTGAATCCCGAGCCAGAACCTGAATCAAATTCGGAACAAGATCCAGAACCAACTTCTGCACCGAATTCTGCACCGACTTCTGCGCTAGTTTCCGCGTTGAATTCTGCGTTGAATTCAGCTTCAGGTTCTGCGAATCCTGCCCTGGTTTCTGCGTTGAATTCGAGGCTTAACTCTTTGCTTAAGCCAAATTCGGAGCCTCTCCCGAGTCCTCCAACGACATCTACGCCAAATTCAGCTCATCCCATACGCCCGAGCTCGATCAGAACCAGTACTGATAGAACAGTTGAGGTTGGCAACACTAAAGGGAAGAAGCGTTTATCTGAATGGCCTCAAGGAGTTGCAGAGCATTGCGAGCAGCCAGCTCAACGGCGGGGTGTAAATAAAGGCTGATGTCGATTTCACGCCCTCCGCATTTAGGGTTCTGATTGGTAGCAAATAAAATAAACCCTACCGTTTACGGAATAGCTCGATTTCAAGATTTCAAGGCCCATTTCAAATTTCATTTCAAGAGGCCAAATTACAGAAATTTCGAAATATTGAAATTACATTTTGCCTTCCCTAGTTACAAAAGTTCACGCAAACGCAACAAACAGCCCAAACATGGGAAAATCTGAAGTTACTGAACAACCTTCGACTTAAGAACATGTGTATATGAACTCATGCGATGTGATATCCGCTCATGTCCATATAAGTCTGACTAGTGCTGGGAGGACCCGAAGGACAAAAAGCATTACAAAATCAGGACTCACATCTAGAACGACTTATCGACTATGTCGATGAACGTGGCATCCTAGACGCCATGACGATGTTCCCGGTGATATTCGTCGAGACCCAACTCTAGAGAGCCTGGCAGGAGGGAAGCGGAACAAGGTTGGTAAAAAAAATTTAGCTTGGCTGGGGTAAAACTCATCTCTTTCGAGGCGTAGGGCTTCGCCCCGATGATTTCTCATTCTTAGAATGGGGCGAGGGTATTTCGCAGGCAACAATTTCACACCCGCGAGTCAGTCACCTAAATCGCCTGACCCAGAGTTACAGCGACAAATGGATTTGAGTGTTTCAGTAGATGTCAGAATTGTTACCAGACGTTGTGAAGGACATCTATGTGTGTTGTTGTCACGCTTTGCATGGCTACGACGGTGATATGTCGCAGACGGATTTACTGACGTTTGTCTGGATTATGAGTGCTATGAACGAGGATGACTTGTTCATTCCCTTCCCAAATTATGAAAGGATTAATGGGACAAGCATGGCTCTAGAGTTTTCTCGATGGCTAAGGGCAATGGTATTTAAATTCGCGTATATGTTGATAGATGTTAATGCATCTCCAATTGGCCAGATACAGCACAGATCGCGTTCTGAGTTGACGCTGCGAGAGACACACCCCCATTTCGCGCCAAGCCTCGATCTCATTGGTCTGGTACTTGTCAATGCACCTGGTGCGTGTCCTCACGTGTTATACTTTCTATGTTCCTGTTTTTTCTTTCTTATTCCTAGGTTCATCCTAGTTCTATCGCCCTATTATCTCTTCCGTTCCTTATTGGCTCCTTGTTTTATTGCTATTGGTTCGCTCTAGCTATTCGCCTCTTTGTTTCATTAAATTGCGTTTCCCCTACCTAGCCTGTCAAATATTTCACAGACCCTATCGTATGGTAAAAAGGAAGTTCCTTCAATCTGCAGCCTCGTCTACATGTGCTTGCTACCTAATACAATTTCCTGCTACTTTAACAGTCGTCCATTCCACTCTTATGGAGTCCCCAGCTTCGAATACCGTGCTATGCTCTAGCTGCTCGCGACGACCTACCCAGTCACCTCTATATAAGACGTGTCCTGCCTGCCGCCAAAAGGCCCACCGACAAAGACTCCGTCGTCGTTTGCTTGCTACTGGTACTGGTGAGGTACCGACCTCCCTTTCTACTGTACAATCTCTGCCACCGTCTACAACTTTGCATTCACCTATACAACGTACGGTCTGCTCGGCTTGCGCCCGACCCTGGCAGTCTCCCCGGTTTAAAACATGTGATCGCTGTCGCCAATGGAAACACAATTATCGCCGGCGAGCTACCGTAACGCAAACGCTCTCTTCTACGTCGCTTGCTGATGCCTCTCAAGACGGCCTTTCTGCTTCCAATATATTTCGCCCTGATGGGACACCCCACTCTTTGCCGGTGGCAGACGGCACTAGGCAAAAAGTGATCCAAACTCCGCCGCCCCGTGACGCTGTGGGTCAGGCCATCAATTTGTTGTGTGATGAGTACGACCGTCATGCTGTTGGTTCCCAATCATTCCCTCCGGATATAGAATATACGGGAAGCATTGATGTATGTGACAGGCTAGGTAGGGGAAACGCAATTTAAGGAAACAAAGAGACAAATAGTTAGAGCGAACCAATAGCAATAAATCGACACCTCACAAGTACCAGTGGCAAGCAAATGAAGGCTGAGTTGACGCTGCGAGAGAAACACCCTAATGAAATCGCGCCAAGCCTCGCTCTCATTGGTCTGCTCTGCATTTATCCCAGTTTATACCAATACGGGCTGTCGAGGTCGATACGTAGCTAACTTCCACACCAATACATGTATCTAAAGGATATGGACCTACAGGCAATCCTTCGTCTGTTTGGGCCCACGTTTTGTTTACACGCCAAATAGCCAGTCGTGGCCGTCTCCTAGTTAAAAATTCTTTGATATGACAGAGTAGAGTTGTGATCTTCTATGTAACAAGAGACAGCCTAGCCATATCTGCTAGTGGTAGCATATGATACCATGGATTATGAATGGAGCTTTTTCAGCTAACGAAATATTGACAAAAAGTCCCTGTCTTAGCCCTTTCGAAACTACAGTGAGCTCAATGCAGCGGAGCAACTGCCAATACCATCATTTGGTCCCGTTTCACATCCCCCATTGAGGACGCGTCACGCATGAACGTGGTCATCGAAATTATGAAGCCCGTGGATTGATTGAGGGTTCCCAAGTGTCGTATTGACGACGGATTGGAGACAACCTCTTCCCCTTCAGGTCTAGAGGGCGTGAACATCGCAGTAAAAAGGGGTGGTCGGGATATGTGATCACGGAAAATTGGCTTCTCCCTTTAGGTGACCCTGCATGCATAGAGCGTAAAGGTCTGAGGCTGAATTTGCTCCAAGGGTGTTCCGAAGGAGTCGGTGGTGCTGGGTCTTTCAGATTGAGTGTATATTGTTTCCGTCTCAAAATACTAGCGAGCTTTCTGCGTTGTAGGAATCCGACGCGGCTAACCGTGGCAGTGTCATCTGTAGTCTCGAAGCCATGTATCTCATGAGAAGCCTCACATTGACGTCCGCCACTGTATCGTCTTCAAAGCCAAGTCAAGAAGCGACGTCTTTTTTATGATAAGTTCGTCGGACGCAAAGTAAGCAACCAGGATTCGAGCTTTCTTGGTTCCGAACGAGTTCAATAATCATCACAGGAACCGTCACAGTTGATCGTGGCTGTTCATTGTGCACTAGGCTTGTGATGGTCACTGCGGGGATGGCGAGCCCACTGATAGTGTGAGAATATTCGGGCTTGTCACCGAGGTTCCGATCGTTGAAGGCGTAGGCATACTTGAGGGCCAGAAATCACACAAAATTCCGGATAAATATCTCGTCGATCGTCTCTGGAAAAGCTCGCTAGTACAAACGGTAAGGTCAGCCCTCGCTGTATCAAATATTCCATATACCGTTATTCCACATTTACACTCACCTCCTTCACCAGTTAGTGGTAGATTGCGACCATCGGTATCTGTTCGAACTAGGTTGCTTGGTATCGGTAAAATTTTGGTAACCACCACGAAGGTGAGGTCCGCAACCCTTCCGCCTGCCTTTAAATCCTGGTCACGTCGCTCTCCTTGGGTGATTGGCAGACTTTGGTATGTAGACCGAGGTTGGCGTCGGGATGGGGCACTGGAATGGCACCTTCGCAAGCTTTGAAGAAGTTAGAACACTGGATTTGGAGCTTGAAATACTTAGCGGCATCAATCCATTCGAGCCAATCGCTCGGGCGAGTGTCATGGACGCGCGCTGTGCATTCAAAGGCTGCCTCGCGTGCAGAAAGTCTGCCATCCTGGCTATTTCGAGTAAAAGCGCCCATGACCATGTTGCCAGCTTGTCTGACGACTTGACAAATAAGGATGAAAGAATAATAGGCTGATGATCCAGACATTGGTTGGAGATCAAACGGCGAATGCAGCCTTGTGGCACCCACACGTGATGAGTCCGGCGCTTGAGGAATCAGGCCTCCATTCATATTACTTCCGATTATTTCCCATAGATACTGGATATGCCTGAATCAAACATTTGATCTACTTGAAATACTTCAAGAATTGATGGTGGGACATTTCTTGTTCGAATCCAGCGCTGTAAGTGGGGCGCTGGGAAAGAAAGCTGGAGTATCCAAGGGGTAAACTGTTTTCGAATTCTACTGTGCCCCCAAAAAGAATGACGAATTATACTAGGGACTGAGTATCTGCTTTTCCACTTCTCCCCTTTATTTATTTATTTATTTATTTATTTATTTATTTATTTATTTATTTATTTATTTATTTATTTATTTATTTATTTATTTATTTTATTTTATTTTTTTCCCAACCCCTTCTTGGTGAAGACTCTCTAATACCATACTGATAACCTGATCCGCGATCCATTTGTAGCAAAGCGAACAGCGCTAGGGCTTGGCTGGTGATATCGCCTAAGGCGGGCGTGAATATACAGACGAAGTTGGTCGATTTTTTTTCCGTCTTCTCACCCACACCACGAGTATCAGAAAAATAAACCCGCCCGATGCGACACTGCCGACAGCGACACCAACGCTGGTGATGGTCACGTGGTGTTGGGCAGCGGAGCCATCTGATGTTGAAGATGACGGTGAAAGAGTGTTTTCACCTCTAGGAGACTCCTGGAGAGGTAGACTCGCACTACATGTATATTTCGTACTAGTAGGATGAGAAGATCCAGGATTGGAACCGGTGACGAATGCTCCTGTGAAACTGCTGTGGGTGATACTGTTCAGCTAACATGGATTTTGGTCTTTTGGGCACGGGAAATACCTTAGAGAAGCGTAGGTGGAATCTACTGTAGTTGGTTCTTGATATGGGGTCGGTTGCGAGGGTTGAAAGTTCTTGGTGCCGGGGTTCAACGCCGTGGCTGTTTTTTTCCCATTCACGGTGCTTGTATGTCTTGTTGAAAGGGATTCTTCCCCTTCACTACTCGTCGCGAGCAACGTTGCAGAGGATTGGACCGTGTAATAGGGACCTGAAATGCTTGTTGTAGGGTTAGTGATCACAATATACACAGTTCCAACTTGTCCGGGAGACACGGTCTGAAGCTTTCTGATCTCGGATAAGTTGAGGTTCAATTCTCTAAACGGCGTGACTGTTTTATGGGCAGAGAGGGTGTAGAGGTCACTGGAGGAGTCATTCCTTGATCAAGACCGCGCGCGGATGATGAGGAGTTGCTCTTGGGCTGACTCGTTGTGGATGCAGGATTTGAAAGAATATTTACTGAAGCACTCAATTCTTGATGGGAACTGAATGTTGGCTGTGAGGTGGCGCTGGCTAAATGAAAGATAGGCGTTGGTCGCGAGTCTTCCTCGGCCAATGTTGACCCGCGCCGATATGACCGCGAGGTCGTCTGATGGGTTGAAAAGAGATTTCCGTGTCTCGATGGTGAAACCTGACGAGATGACGACGATTCATGACCCTCTGAGGATGTTGAGTCTCGCTGTGATGCCTGTGGCGTGCTTGAGGTAGATTCTAGACCTGTTTTATCTTGGAGCGACGTTGGCTCTTGTTGCGTGTGATAGTGTATGGAAGTAGAATTTGGTTGCCCTGACTGCGCCGCGCTTGATATATGGCTTGGTGGAGTGTAGTCATCTCCCGATATTGAGAGTTGCCTAACCAAGCTTGATACGGTTGAAATATAATCCTCTCGTGATACCGGAGTTTGCGTCGATGATTCTGATGCGCTCGCAATACTTTTGTGAGATTTCTTCAAGGATAATAGCGGTAATGCGGTACTCGGTTCAGACGTGGTCGCGTCTTGTGAGGACTGTAATGTGGCCGGACTGGGTTCGAGCCATGTCGAATATTGATGCGATTGCTGTGGCGCGGCATTTCCTTCCGACGTGGAGTCCTGTTGCAAGAAGTGTGATGCGGTCGACGTCGTTTTGATCGATGTCAAAGCTAGTTCCGATGGCTGTAGCGCGGCTTTGGTTTTAGTCGTGAATTCTTGTTGTAGTGGTAGTGACGCGGTCGGAGTGGTTTCGAGCGATGTCAAAGCTAGTCGCGATGACTGTAGGGCAGCATTACCTTTAGCCGCGAGCCCCTGTTGGAACTGTGACGCAGTCGAGGTGGTTTCGAGCGATGTATAATGTACTTGCGATGGCTGTAACGCGTCATTGTGTCTATAGGTCGATTGATGTTGCAACGGCAGCGACACTTGGTTCTGAATTTGGGATCTAGGGGTGGAATCTGGAGAACTTGCGGGCTGCATATAAAGTAGAAGATGCGCTGGATTCGATGTAAGGGACATACTGAGGGATGTTGCAAGGTGACTGAGTCCGTCTCTTCGATCAAAGCGGAACAACCGAGACCCATCGTTTGAGATATATATATACAACATTAGATGCTCGACCTTAACAACACTCTGCCTAGTTCGAAAGGCAGATGATGTAAGTTTCTAGGCCCTCTAAATGGCGGTTCGTCCCCCGCTTCTACTACTAATAATAACATAGACCTTTGGGGTAGGAATATGCTTTGGATATGACGGTGGTCTTGCTATAGCGTTGCCTTAAATCTAAGAGGATGGCTAGCTCTTACGTAGAATCCTAGTAATAACACACCAGTGTTTTGTTATCCAAGTGTACCACGAATGCTTTGCAGGTCTTTGTCACGAACCCGAGGGCTCTCATGTAATACCGAGCGTAACCTATAGTACAGCATGTGACAATAGTGGACGGAGCACCAACCCTAGCAAATCGGTTTCTTAGCCACCTTTGCTTCTGAGTTTTCCATTATCGCCAGACGCGTTAGTACTTTGATCCATTTGGACATCCTACCGATCAAGACGGGACATGCATATCAAGGGATCTCGGTCACCTGGATATATATGACTATTTGCCGCATGTGTCTCTAGTACAGGTCGTAAATGAATGGACCTAAGGGCGTCTTTTCGATGGCTTAGGAGTCAGTCGATGTATCTGTTCACCGGAGGTAATTCACCTAAAGGCCCGGTTTCTCCAACCGAACTCGGTGTCCACAGAATGAATGCATCGCAGCATTCTTTAGTCCCCACCATTTTGGAAGCCGCATTGCTGTTCAAAAGTGATACATGTGACCATTCTGAACGAAATGTTCTGGCTGTAAAGGTTACTCAGTCAGGCTCTTCGCTCGTCCATCACTCAGCAAATCGATCCACCGTCCCTAGTTCTACCGTGAGCATCACGTGACCCCCACCCCCCAAAAAAGCAAAAGAAAAATGCACCTGACTTTGCCTCTTCTGTTTTAGTACGAAGTGGGGACCCCAACAGGCCTATGACAGGTTCAATCTAAATGCGAGGATCGCGAATGGTATCGCTTTAGTCATACACTCGAAGATGTCCGTTTATAAACCAACGAGAAGAATTCAAAAGGGATTGGGAGCCCATGGTGTTGATTTTGAGGGTACGGACCAAATTTGGTAACCACCTAGGTAGTATGTCGGGCAGAGCCTAACTTGGCTGGGGGCAATCTCAAAGCCCCACCTTTCTTTTGAATCAAGCTCCACTCTGAACCTAGCCCGAATAGGCCTAGTACAGCAATCGTATTGGCATTCATCTTGTCAACGGGAATGTGATCATGTGATACCATAAATCAGTGACCATAGGTCAATTCTAGCAGAGTCAATAATAAGTCTCTGAGATATTTTTAATAATGAGCCCCGGTTATCCTACGAATCCCCGGGGGTAGTTGAAAAGCGAAAGGTAAACTCCATGGGAAAGCGATACACATTTACCCTACGCGAGCCTTACTGCATGCAAACAAGGCAAACATCATCATTTTCCTAGCTACAGTGACGCAGCAAATGTTTTAACACCCTTGGACAGACCGCTTTTGAGACCGCCTATTGTAAACCGAAGAGCAAGTTAATGTTAACTTACTTTTTAAACATTCTTGTCTCAGTAGGTGTTTTTTATAGAAGATATGATTCTATTCAATACACAAAGGCCAAGTGTTTTGTTAAAGAAACAAGTTAAAGGGTGTTGAAAAAAAATCCAATTTTTGACTGGCAGAATCTAAAAATTCAGAGGGGTGTTAAAACATTTGCTGCGTCACTGTAAGTACCTGAAATATTACATCATACACGTGATCTGATGAGGCTCGTCTGAGGAAGTGGGTCTACAATGCTCAGCCTTGACGGGGAGTACGGCAAGTCCCACGACAGAATACACTGCTAGGAATGAGACTTGAGGAAAGATCATATATTAGCACTTCATCTCACGGAACAGTAAAATCTGTCTAGGAATTAACCTGGGTGCAAGTAAACCTGGGTGCAAGTAAACCTGGGTGTAAGTAAACCTATAAGAAGTGCGGTATATCTTGTGATACCCATTTTATACATGAGAAAAATGAGTCTCCCTTCGTCCGTTCCGTTGATATGTATCAATGTCGCTGAAATTTGCGGATATGTACCATGGATTGGTGACACAAAGCGAGTGTCTTTGTGGTTGAAATTCGTCCGTTTCATAGACATGGTTGTTGACCGGCCGTTTCGACTTGTCGACGACGACCTCATCCCAGACATGGCATGCTGCGAAGCTATGTTGGATGCGCTCAGAGATTTAATAGGTTGGTTTCTATCGAGCCTGTGTTGCTGGCTTCTAATGTAATGTTTTAGGGCTTTTGGCAGATGATCATCCGGCAAAATGCCCAATAAAGTATATAGCTGTTACCGGACTTACTTTACGAGAAGTTGCGCGCCGTCTAGATGAGGAGCTGTCAACGTACGACTACTACGCTGGACCGGTGTGTTATTTAGCCGTTCTTTTAAAGTGATGGTATTTTAACGATTATCCCACGTCCATTGCATAGGAAAGCATAGATTGAGCATTATTGATTTTCA